AAAAATTTCACAGATTTTCTTTTAATTAACTATTTTTTGATAATTCCAACAGCCATTTTATTATAAAAAGCTATATAAAATAAATTGTTTTGTGCCTGCTAAGGTGAGTGGGAAACTTGGGACAATAGTAAAGGGAAGGTCACACTGGTGATGGGATTGGTGTTGAAATTGAATGTCCAAAACAATTGAACTATGAACAACTTTGTAAACTATGGTGTTTAAATAAAGTTAAAATTCACTCTATCAGTGAATTTATCACTGTCATCCCATTGTTCATTGATTTATTCAAGCAGGCTCCAGTAATGTCTTCATTTGTACCAGTCCTGAGATTTTAGCAGCGTTTCCTTACTCATCTTTCCCAACGCTGCCATATTGGAGGCTTTTTCAAGGGTCAGGGGAATGAGACCAATTATTGTTACTGTTTTTGACATATTGAATACGCCATTGGTTGCTTGCCAGGCTAAGCCGTGTGGGTGGAATACTCACCGGGCTCTCCAGAGGCATATTTGTTGCCTAGTATTTGAACCCCATCAAATATGGTGTGGTAATTATGAAAAATGGGTAAGGAGTGTCTTATGATGTGGTGCGCGGCTGCTTTCATGGCTGCACGATCCAGGAATATATTCACATGAGGAAGACTCAGCCTGAAAATCTCAGTCTATGCTAGAATTGGAAAAATTACCTTGTCAAGGCTGAGTGGTAAATATTCTAATATTTTTGAGCCATCTGGTCTCAAAAAATTTACTCCACTTTGTCGGTAACAAGAGTCATAAACACGTAAGTTAATGGGTGGGACTGTCTTATTTATGAACACTGAATTTGAATCCTATTCATTTATTAATTTACAACTTTATTTTGTTAAGGGCTGGAGCAATAGCACAGCAGGTAAGGCGTTTGCCTTGCATGTGGCCAATCTGGGTTCAATTCCTCTGGCCCTCTTGGAGAGCCCAGCAAGCTACCAAGAGTATCCTGCCCGTATGGCAGAGCCTGGCAAGCTCCCCATGGCATATTTGATATGCCAAGAACAGTAGCAAGTTTGCAAGGGAGACATTACTGGTGCCAGTTCAAGCAAATTGAAGAACAACTTGAGGACAGTGCTACAGTTGCTGCAATGCTACTTTGTTAAAGAAGTTTTAGGTTCATACAAAAACAGGTCGGAAGATGGAGATTTCCCTTTATCTCTATTCACACTCATGCCTATCTTCCCACATCATCTATATCATGCCCCACTGTTATATTTTTTACAATCCATGAATTTACACTGACATATCCTGGTCACAAAGTCAACAGTAACATGAGATCTCATTCTGGCAAATTTCTTAAAATGTTCTATTATCTTGTTACTGTGTTTGGCATATTGAATACATCACGGGTAGCTTGCCAGGCTTTGCCGTGCGGGCGAGATATTCTCGGTAGCTTGCCGGCTCCCAGAGAGGAGTGGAGGAATCAAACCCAGCTTGGCCGGGATAGCCGCTTGCAAGGCAAACACCCTATGGGCCCACTCGAGCAAATCGATGAGCAACGGGAGGACATTGTTACAGTGCTACAGTTCTATTATCACAAATTACAGTTCATATTTTGATTTCTTTCAGCTACTTAAAAATCAAAGCCATCCTTAGTTCTTAGACGGTACAAAAATCATTAGTAGGTAGATACATTCTTCTGGTCTTAGTTTACTTATTTCCTCATGCTAGACTAACAATAAACTGAATAAATTTATGGCAACCTGAAATTCCATTCATAAAGTAAAAGGATCCTGGATCCACCTTATTACTACAGAAAAGAATGTCTATCTCCACCTTTTCCTCCTATTCCAGCCTTTTTTTTTTCTTTTTGGGTCACACCCAGAAATGCTTAGGGATTACTCCTGACTCTGCACTCAGGAATTACTCCTGTCGGTGCTTGGGGGACTGTATGGGATGCTGGGGATCAAACCCAGGTTGGCCGCATACAAGGCAAACCCCTACCCACTGTACTATCACTTTGGCTCCCTATTCCCACTTTTTAAAGGCAATCAACGAGGTTGAAAATATACCTGTCATGGGAAGTCATATTTTAAAAATGCAACTCTGAATGGTATAGAGGAGACTAGACAGGAATAAAGTCAGTTCCTTCTCTGAAGAAAGGCAAGAGAGAGTCAAGGGTTCCCTCAGCAGTTTATTCAAACTCTGGCTTTGACACTTAAACAACCCTTTGATCTTCATCTTCCTCACTTGTAAAATGAAAACACAAATACCTAATATATTTGTGAGAACTGAATAAAACTGTGCTGATCATCCTCAGTAAAGGACTCAGTGTACTTCAAAGTTAATGACTGATACCAGTGAATAAAAGAGACATTTTTAATAGTATAGTGCATTCTGATTCTATACCCATAAAAAGGAAATACACTGTAATTGAGCTCTGCCAAGCACATTAGACTTAAAATTCAACTCAGAGTTATACTTACATCACCAGTTAGCACTTTAATGCCGATTGAATGGGTTCAATGCTGCAGGCTACACTTCAGTAATGTGGTTTTTAATCTTACCTCTGTACACTATAGTTTCCCTAGAAAGATTTAATTATAGTCTTTAAACTTTTCCCTACTTGCTTTTTAATCCTCTGCAAAATTTCCTTCTATACGATCTTATGTTTACAACTCCATTATGCTGACCGACTCAAGCAAGAAACAGAAATTGAGGCCCTATTAAACTTACTCCAAATCTCCAGCTACCTGAAATACAATCAGCTGTTTTGAAGATATGGTGAACTCCAGTCATGGGTGGTTATGAATTAAGCTGTCAAGGAAAATACGGGCACCACAGAAATGTCTTTACTTACATGAGTTTCTGTTTAGAGGAGAGGAAGTAGACTTTGCATTGCAACTTATCAAAAAAAAAGTAAGTCGAGGTGGGAGGAAATGAGGAGGGGGCTCATATTACTCCCTGAACATTACAATAACTGAAGGAAATTATCTTACTATTTTGAAAGCATAATTTATATATGTTGTTTACCCTCTATTCTAATACTGATCACCATGTTCAGACTTAGTATGAAAAAAAGATTATTCCAAATGGTGCTACATTTGAGACTTCTTGTTTTTTTTTTCCCTTTGGTATGGATTTTTGTTTTCTTATCCTTGTTTCTCTTTTTAATTGAAAAGATTTAAAAAAAGGTAACATTTTTGATATATTATTTTGAACAAGCAAAAGGCACAACTTCAAGATTGAGAATCTAAATCAACATTTGTAAAATCAAATAAAACACGGAGTTTGGAAAAGAACATCATGCTTCTTGTCAAGTCCCAGTAATAATAGCAGTTTGTCCAAAAGGTGGATGTTATCCTCTCTGACTCAACCTCTAAATGTCAAGAGCTGAAGATTAAAAGGAGACTAGAACATGTGAGTGTGAGCAGTAGTTCTCTTAAAAACCGGTTTGAAAAGCTGTAAGTTACGAGTGGATTTCTCCAGTCTCTCCAGCATTTTTGATGATCTTGGGCCAGATCACATCTCTCTAGGTGCTGGTGTTCTCACAAGTCCAGTAAACAGTAAAACACAGATGTGGTTTGGGAGGAAGTAATTCAGGTACTGGATGAGAAGCACTTAATACTCTGCATTTGTCTGTTACCTAGTAAACATTTAACATTAACTATTACTATTTGCACCTAACAAGGAAGCCGCAAAGTTCTCAGACACCATTTCGGGAGCCCCGGGTCCTGGAGCATAGCTAAATTAGTGATGCTAATTAGTACCAAGGCTAAGAACTCAGGGCTGAGAATTAGTAATCTGGGTCCTCTTTAACTTCTTCCCGGACACACTGGAAAAATACTAACAATTTAATAAGGGGTTCTTGTTGTTCTCGAAGTAAAAGGTATTTGCTTTAAAACCCTGTTCTTGATTCTTAGAATATGACCCTGTGTTCTGTTTGATAAAGACAGATCTTTAGGGCAGGGGCTGATCTGTGGGTTGGGGTGCAAGGCATGCATAAAAGTACGGGGGTGGGGGGAGTGCAATCTCGCACAAAGACCCCAAGACACTGAGCCAACGGTGGCACTCCCACCCTCCCCAGGGTGTGTCCACAAAACCAACAAGATCTTTGAATAAACGTGGGTGAAGGTTAAGGAGTTGGTCTTTCTTCGACGGATGGAGCAAAACAACATCAACAAAATGGTCATGCCATTCTGAGCCCAAACATTCAAGAAGGAACCTCCCCAATTCAGAATTGACTTCAAAACCCTCTGCCCTTCAAAGAGGAAGCGCGGGCGAACAGACCCATGAGCGCCGGCGGTGAAAGAAGCCCCAACCCCAGCCGCTCGGCGGACGGAACCGGATGTGGGGCAGCGGCGGCCGGCGCGGGAGGCGGGGCCCGTTCTGAACCCGCCCCTTGGAACGCGAACCTACCCGCTGACTGGCCGCGGCGCTCAGAACTTCGACCAATTCTCAAGGCCCTTGGAATCGTTTGCAAGTTGAGCCAATGGGCGGGCGCGTTACAGGCTGCTGTGAGTTGTGAGTGGCGGGTTCCCGCGAAGGTGTGGCTGGCGGGTGGAAGCTGGAGAGAGCGGCCGGTCGTGGCACCTGCATCCAAGTGGATTCACCCGGCGCTCGACCGGGGCCTGGAGGGTGATATAGGCAGATGCCGGCGCAGAGGGTGCGCCCGTAGCCCGTCGTTGGTGGTGGTTGGTGAGGGTGCGCTGCGGGAAGAGCGTTTGTGAAGTCACTGGTTCGCAGCTGCGCCCCAGAGCGCCTACATCACTGCGGGACGGCGGGGGCTGGGGGGGGGGGGCTCTTTTCCAGGCTGGACCTATCCCCCCCGAATCCGGGTAGGTCCACGGATCGGGTGTCACAGTGACGACAGGTGGGAGGTCTGCTGTTCCAGCTTGGAGTTTGGTAGGGAAGATCTAACGGGGACTTGAGATTGTAGAGACTAGACCCACCTAGTCTCTTGGCTCAGGTGGCTCTTGGGGAGTGAGATGGACCAGTGTGTGAGCGGTGACGGTGGCAATGAGTGACACGAAGGTGCTCATTGGAAGAAAAGAACGTTTATTAACCCTGAACCCAGACTCTAAACTTTTGCACCTGTCCCGTGGAAGACAGGTTATCCACATGGAACTCCCCTCTAAGAGGTTAGAAGTCTCGATCGAAGGCCCATCTCTCTCATTCACAGGGTGTTCACAATGGGCGGTGCAAGACCTCAACCTACAGCATCTGAGATAGGAAGTGTGTACATCCCTGCCGAGAACACTCCACAATTGGTATGAGGTCAAATCAGAGAAAGGGATTCAGTGAGATGTCAGAGCATTTGGCAGAATAAAGATTTTTTTGTTTGTTTAAATAGTACTGAAGGGAAACAGAAGACATGTCTTCATTGCTGACTCCTGCCTCCATCAGAGCCCGTAGTCAAAGGACTGGGGGTCATTCTGCACGTAGAGATTGAAGAACCCACGCAGGGTCTGTGGGTCAATGAGGAGTGCTGATACCACCGGGTCCTCCCTCATGGCTGCCACCCAGAGCTTGAGTTTTGGAGAGTGATCTAAGCACCTGTGGGAGGGGGACAAAATGAAGGCATGAGTTGAGTTGGCCAGGATGGCATTTATTACAAAGTCTCTTGTATATTGTTGGTACTTGGAAGACTATTGGGATCTTTATTGCTCAGATTTTTGTTTAATTTTAAGACTAGAGGGAGGTGATTTAGCATGAAAACCTGTCTGAGCCGAGACTAATAATTGGTATTTTTTTTTTTGGAGGGGGGAGTTGGGTGTGCTCTGGTATGCTCCCAGGTAGTGCTCTAGGAGTGAAACTCAGCCTAGCTACATGGAACTTGACCAGTTCATTGCTGGAGCCTGGTATTGTACTGCTGGGAACCATGGGGGCTACAACTGGTAGTGAGTTTTGCTTTCAACTTGGAGATCTAGCACATACAAAGCATATGCTCCAGCCCTCATAGCTATCTCCCTGTCCCAGATTGCTTTTATAAATGAGAAAGTGAAAACCAAACAAGGATGCAATATATTTAATGTTTTGTGGCCAGATTGTGACTAGGCAACTCTGAATAGCTCAGAGCTCCTAAGAAGTGGGAGTAAACAAAGTAACTCCAAATGTCATGCAGCTTGGAATAGTGTGGGGATCTTGCAGGGAGGGAAGTGGGAGGGAGCATTGGTTAATCAGTGCATCAGGACAGTCATAAAAATGTACATCATGCAGTTATTTAGCCAAAGAAGGAAGAATAAGCTTTTTAAAACAGGCTGGGGAGAGAGTACAAAAGGGCTGGAACATGTGCTCTGTATGCGGAGTTTGATCCCTGGCATCACACAGTTCCCTTAGTACTGCCAGGTGTTGCTGCTGAGCACTATGCTATGAGAATTTCCTCATAAAATCATTTTATTACATGTGATAGAATTTTGCTCTATATCCAGCATGCCAGAGATGAGGAAAAATGGTAAGTGGAAGGGGCTTACAGACTCTGTGTAGTCCAGACTCTCTGATGTCCAGTTGTATGGTATTTTATACAATCTTATTATTTGTATGTACACTGCACATTAAAAATTGCATATGGTTATACAAAATACTGGTTCCCAAAAATATTCCATATGTACTAAAACATGCACACAATATTGAAATGTCTCACTCATTTAGCTCCAGCACTTCCAGTCGTTCAAACCAGGGCCACATGAGGTAATCGATCATAGAAATAGAGCTGCCACCAAAGAAGGTTGTCTTCTTGTTGGTCAGAACCTAAACACAAGACAGAAGAAGACTTATTTGTGTGTCTAGCAATGCCTCATCAAAAACGGTGAAAGCATATTAAGCAGAGCGAACGAGAGCAGCATCTTTTGTTCACCTTTGATAATTCCAAGATGACTTTTAGTCTTATGGGTTTGAGTTTTTAAGATCTGTTAGTGTGGATGAAGTAGTCAACAAAATAAACTAGAATGTAAGGATTAAAGGAGTATATAAGATCTTTGTAAAAAACACATCTATCCAACAAAGGGCCAGTATTTAGAAAGAAGTCCTAGGAGTCAATCAGAAAAAAAGTGAACAACCCACTCGAAAATACAGCAAGATGTGAACTTCACAAAAGTGTTCACCAACACTACTAATCAGGGAAATGCATATTAGAACCAAAATACCACTCACACATCCATCAGTATGGCTAAAAGGAACAAGACAAAGTTAGCAAGGGAATGACAACTTGGCTTTAATTCTTCCTGTACAAGAGCTGAGTGCATACAGGTTTTACAACCCAGTAATTCAATCCCTTGACAATGTGCTATATTCATTAACCAAAAGATATATGTAAGAATATTCACTGTATGGCCACAGCACTTGCCTTGTATCAACCAGGGTTCAATCCCTGGCACCCCATATGGTCCCCCAACACCACCAGAAGAATACCTAAGCACATAGCCAGGAATAAGCCTTGAGCACTGCCGGGTGTTCAACCTAATACATCCCTGGGATCAAACCAAATACGTCATAACACACTAAGAAGACACTGAGGAAAAATATGGTATAATCATGAACATACAAATTCTTTATTCTTTATGAACTGATTATGTATGTAGAAAAACCCACTGAATAAGTGTATTCAATAATTCTAGGGGTAGTTCAACATTTAAAATAACAATTATTCCAGATACATCAGATTAAAGACATATATATACACACATACGTATATATATTCATATATACGTATGTGTATATATACACACACATGTATGTGCAGGGCCAAAGTGATAGTATAATAGATAGGGAATTTGTCTTGCATGCAGCCGACTTGGGTTTTATCCCCAGGACACAATATGGTTCCCTGAGCCTTCCAGGAGTAATCCCTGCATGTGGACCAAGAGTAAGACCTGAGTACCACTGGGTGTGGCCCGAAAATTAAAAATATATATATATATGTCTGATATATATGTGCTCTACATATATATGTATATATGGAAAAGGTTGTAGAAAAATCTCCAACAAATGTCATACTAGTAAAATGTTATGATGTATTCCTTAAGAATGGTGAAGGGTGGGGATCTGAATGTCACACATCACAGACCCAGATAGCAGTTTCTGCTCTGCTCTGGGATGAAGACAGATCTGGGCTTCCCAAGCATACCTGGGAATGCTTACTATATAAAGTGGGGGGGGGGGGGGGAGAACGAACGAATGGTATATAGTTATGTTGCATTTTAAAATTTATGGACAAGGACATAGAAAAATAAGAACAGGTGATGAATCGTAAAAATACAAAATTTTCTTTTTCCTAGTTATTTTAATGCAAGGGTAACAAAATGTTTTAAAAGCAAGTATATGACCAGTTTTTAAGGTACTTCATTTATACAATCTTTTAGGGAAAGCTGCAAATTTCTTACTTGGTATTATTACTAATGCTTTGCTGTGATCTGGGAAGTGAAAAAAGAAAAAATAGAGCAGAGAAAGAAAAGGTGGCTACACTGCATCATTCTGATAAAAAAAAAAAAAGAAACTGATTACCTCCTCTAGCTTGCCAAATTCTTTCTGTAATTCTTCCTTTGGGCCAATGCGATCTTCCTTAGTTTTACTCCGAACAATGCTTCCTATCAAAGGTGGCACCTAGACAGAAAAGAATTTCTTAGTCTGGGAATAATTACACTGCCACCAGCCCCCCTCACAAAAGCACGATAGGATCCCAGAGTCATGTATTCTAGAAACTTCAAAGGAGTCCCAGTCCCTGTGTTCAAAGAAGTCACATACTGATGCTCTCAGAATGGTACTCCCCACTGCCTCTGAGACCCTCGCCACTTAGAAAAAGCTTTGCGGTCTAAAATGATGTATTTATTCACCATCTTGTAAGCTGAAAATAGCAGAACCCATGTTGTTGACTCTGAGTCAAGAATCACCTGAAAGGACATTGAGTGGAAAGCGGAACAAGCAGAAGTGACATTAAGCTGGAACATTCCAAAATGGTGCTCGGGCCTGGCATGAAAAGGAAGCACCCACCACAGCCAGTGATCTGAGGACGCCATTCTCTGATTTGTGTAACCCCCCTCCCACATCCAAGGATAAACAAACTTTTTCTAGAGTCTAATTTCTTAACACACACACAGACACACCTTAGAAAATAGTTCGAAGACCATCTTCTGGCGTGCTTTCTCATACGGGTCATCTGGAAATAGCTTCTTTCCGGGATAGGCCTCGTCCAGGTACTCACACGTGATGGCAGATTCACAGATGAGTTGCCCCTGACTAGTCTCCAGAACTGGGACCAGACCAAAGGGGTTCTTCTCAAAGAACCACTCAGGCTTGTTCTTCAGGTTGATGTTGATGACCTCATGCCTGAAAAACCAACAGTTTTATATTCTGTCTCTGTCTGCATCATCCTCTCATGCCCCACCATCCATTTTGCTGGTTCAGCCACAAATTTAGGAGTCAGCTCAGCCTTCATTCTATCTGCCTCCTCCTCACATTGTATCCCCCACCCCACCATCACTCCTCAAGTCAGACCATCAACAAATCTTGATAGTTCAGTTCCAGGTCAGGTTCTGATTTTATCCACTTCTCAGCATTAACCTCCACTTTGAGCAAAATAAGCGCCATCTGCCACCTGGATCCCTTAACAGTCTCCCAGAGGCCTCTCTGCTTCTTCAGTGGCCTTCCTATGGCTCATTCACTGTTTACCTTTGACTTGGATCAGGCCACCCTCCTCCTTACAAGCCCTTGATACTCCTTGCAAAGCAGGTAGACTAAAGTTCTTCTCAGGAAGATGCCATGAGGATCAGGAATAGAGGATCCAGGGAGCTGGGAAGCACCTTTGCAGGATGCAGTGTTTGACCTGAGAGCAAGTGGAAGAATGGCCAGTGTGGGGGCTTTAGGTGGGGACATATTTGGTAAATTCAGAGAACTGGAACAAGGCCAGTGAGCCAGAGGCAAAGCCACAAGAAGCAGATGTGACAGGTAAACAGGTGTGGCAAAAATAAACCAAAAACAGTACCAAAATAGGTACTCAGCAAATACTAGAGCAATAGCACAGCGGGAGGGCGTTTGCCTTGCACGCAACCAACATGGCCGACCCGAGTTCGATTCCTCTGCCCCTCTCGGAGAGCCCGGCAAGCTACCGAGATATCTTGCCTGCACGGCAGAGCCTGGCAAGCTCCCAGTTACATATTTGATATGCCAAACACAGTAACAACAAGGTCTCCAATGGAGACGTTACTGTTAAATTGAGTAAGTTGCAAATGCATTAAGTCTGCCAACATGGGGCCAGAGAGATAGTACAGCAGGCAGGGTGCTTGCCTTGCATGCAGCCAACCCTGATTTCATTCCCGTCACCTCATGTGGTCACCTGGGCACCGCCAGAAGTGATCTCTCAGCACAAAGGTAAGAGTAAACTCTGAGCACAGCAGGGTTAGCCCCCCCCCCAAAAAAAAAGACTGCAAATATACATGATATTCCATTTGGGGTGTGTGTGAAGGTATATTGTAAATTATCACTTAATCACTTAATCCCCGTTATTCATCGATTTACTCGAGTGGGTGCCAGTAACGTCTCCATTCATCCCGGTTGCATGCTACCGTAGCCCAATGGTATCTGTTCGTTCTAGGAACATGCAGAGCCTCAAACCGATCATTCAGGGTCTTGACGAAGAAGTCTGACCATCTTGTAGGTGGGTGTCCACGTGATCTTTTGATGTCCCGTGGAATCCAATCAGTAATGGCTCTAGTCCAGCGGTTGTCTGTAAACCTCATTACATGTCCAGCCCATCTGATTTTTGATGTCTTGGCAAATGAGACAGCGTCCCTGATTCTTGAGCGTTGACGAAGATCAGAACTCCGGATTCTATCTCTCATTTGAGTGAATCGTGATATTCCAAGCATAGTTCTTTCGATTCCTCTTTGAGAGACCCAAATAGCGTTCTCATCCTGTTTTCGTAGGGTTCAGGTCTCTGAGGCATATGTTAATGCAGGAAGAACAGTGGAATCAAAGAGATGTGCTCGTAGCTGGAGGTTCTTTGTCCTTTTAGTTATTTCTTCAACGTTCTTGAAGGCATTCCATGCCGCTCTCTTCCTCCTGCACAACTCAGGTGCCAGGTCATTCATCATGTTGATTTCTCGACCTAGGTATATATAACTGTTGCATTCAGAGATGGTGGTTCCATTGAGAGCGAATGGAGCGTCAGGAACAAGGCTGTTTCTCATAAACATTGTCTTCTTAAGATTCAGCTGTAGTCCGACCTTTCCACATTCACGGTCAAAGTCATTCAGCATTTGTGCCGCTTGGCTGATGTTTGGTGTTATTAGAACGATGTCATCAGCAAAGCGGAGGTGGTGGAGTTGCCGACCATCTATCTTCACTCCCATGCTTTCCCATTCCAGTCGTCGCATGATGTTCTCGAGGGTGGCACTGAAGAGTTTTGGTGAAATGGTATCACCCTGCCGAACCCCTCTCTTGATATGGATGATTACTTCTTTGTAGAATGGTGAGATCTTGATAGTGAATCCGCAATAGAGCTCACGAAGGATTGTAAATTATATGAGATGTAAATTATTCAATTGTGTCTACTACCCACCACCAGAATCATAGTAAAGTTCAATTCCTTTCATTAACATGAATAAAATAGTCCTGACTTTTTTTTTTATAAGGCTCTAAGGGAATATTAAAAATTTCATGTATGACAGGAACTTCCAGATTAAATATCTCAGTGGTGGTAATTTCTTTAAAACTTGTGTGGACACATCATATAATGTAATCCTAAACAGAAGAAACCTGGGGACATTCGGCCACATCCAAGTTGTAATTAGATCTGACTTGTAAATGGCCTCGGATTATTGAGAACATGAGGAAGGTTTTGTATAACGGTTATATGCTGGATACTTTTTCAACAACAGATTAGTTGTTGAATAATACACACCCACAACTTTGTTTCCTCATCCTGGCCTAGAAAGAGCATTGCTTTTAAGGAATCAAACAAGTAAATCCTCAGAGAAACAAAGGAGCATCCATTTGAATACACACCCACAACTTTGGTTTCTATTTCCTCATCCTGGCCTAGAAAGAGCATTGCTTTTAAGGAATCAAACATGTAAATCCTCAGAGAAACAAAGGAACATCCATTTGAACAGGAGCACGGGGCACATGCCTGCGTGCCTATGCCTGTATCACAAGGTTCATGTCATGACATGAAGTAAACACTCAGCTACACGCCACTGCCTCCTGCCAAGGAGCTCTCAGCATTTCCGAAATTTTACACTGGAAAACCAATAGGCACGCTTTTATAAAGTTTTCATACCATGCCTTTTGGTAACTTGGCCTTGTAAGTGACAAATCGATATACTAGCCACAAATTGGAATATACCCTCCTTAGAGAAAATCCTATTGCTTGTGCCATCTGGCAGTGGACCCCTTCCCCAACTGATCCCTTTTCACTATTCCTTTGGAAAAGTGATGCAGAAAGTAGAACTGTTTCTAGAGTTTCAGAGGGCACATTGCCAGGATTTTGTGTCCCTGCATTCAACTATGCCCTACATCTAGATTGTTTCATTATATGAGCATAAAATGTTTTTCAACAAGAGCTGGAAAGACAGCACAGTGGGTAGGGTGCTTACCTTGTATGGGGCCAACTGGGGTTTGATCCTCAGCACCCAATAAGGTTCCCCCAAGTCCCATAGGGTATGGTCCAAAAACAAGTCTTTCAATATTCCATTCTGAATTGATTTTGTCTTATAGTGGAAGAATTATTATGACCATCACAGATGTTACAGCATTTTTGGATAAAAAGTTTTCTTTTTCATAAACTACATATATCGAATATCTTGTTATGAGTTCAGGATTATAAATTTCATCCAACTGAGTTGCAAATCTCAGTGAAGCAATACTAACCCCCAAATAATGGGTTTATTTTAGAGAGCATATTTCTCTCAGGGACAAGAACTGCTTAATTCTCTCCTTTAGAAGCAAAATTACTTTATAAATTCTAAGCACCCTGAAAGTTTTTTAAGCTTGGGGGGCTTGGTGGGCTATAGGACAGTACAGTTTAGTCACAGCACTTCAGTTTCCATTCCCAGCACCACAAAGTACCCCAAGTACCCCTGGGGACCCCTGGAGTGCAGGCTCCCTTAGCAGTCCCCAGCACTGCTGAATGTGGCTCACTCCCCCAAAAAGAGTGGGGGTTGTGTTTTAACCTTTCATCCCACAGGTACCTAAGTCAGTTCAACAGATCCTGGAGGTGAGCTATGAATGACTTCTATGCACTTTCTAGGGATAACCCACCACCTCATTTCTGTGGCTTTTGGCAAAAGACTGCACTTTTTAGGCCTGGCCACTTTTGATATAACCAACCATGCATACTAAAGGGATAAATTTATGCTACAGAATTTTCCCCAGGGAAGTATTTGGCAAAAAGGTGGAGAAAGGTGCTTGCCTGGCATGCAGCCCACTTGATTTGATCTCCCCTATCACATATGGTCCCTTGGGGATCCCCTGGAGTGATCCCTGAGTACAGCAGAACATGAAAAGCCACACTGGTGGGAGGGACGTCCAAAACAAAACAACAACAACAACAAAATAGGCCAGAAAGTCTCGAAAATGTTGGGGCCAGAGAGATAGTAAAGCAGGTAGGTCGCTTGCCTTGCAGGGGCCTGAACCAGGGTTGATTCCCTGCACCCCATAGGGTCCCCTGAGCTCCACCTGGAGTGATTCTAAGCCCTGAGCACCTGTGGTTACTTAAAATAATAATAATAACAATAAAATCTGAAAATAGCAAACTACTGGATCAACCAGGAGAAAAACTGGGGGTTTTCGAATTTGTTAAATGCTTCATCAACAAAGGGGGGCAGAGACGGTCCTGGACTGATGAAATCCGTAGATTTCTGGGTAAAAGGGTCTATATCTGCGATGCGGCCCCTTTCTCTCAAAAAAAAAAAAAAACAACAACAAACAACCAAGAGCCATTTCCTTAGCAATACAGGCATCTCAGCAGGCCCTCCTGAGCTTTCCACCCCATCACAGCGGCTCCTCGGCGAGAGTCCCCGGCCTCTCCCCGGGGCCCGCCGCGGTCCTTACTCGATCCCCTTGGCCTTCAGGACCAGGAGCGTCCTCTTGGCGAACGGGCAGAACCTCATGCTGTAGACGCGGATCAGGCCCTGGGCGACCGGGCCGGGGGCCGCGCTCCCTGCGGGAGGAGAACCAGGGGAGGGGGTTAGGACTCCGAGAATGCCTGGGACCACCCCCCCCAGCCTCCCCCGGGCCAGGGATGGGGCCTCCTTCCCGGCAGCGCCTGGGATCCCCGCGATCGCCGCCGCCGCCCCCCGCGCCGGGCAGGCCCCGCTCACCCTTCGCCAAGCTCCGCGCTGACCCTCCCGACATTGCGACGCGGCGCTGTCCGAGCTCGCTCTGGGCGTTAGCGGGCGGGCGCTGCAGGAAGTAAGTAGGTGGGTCCTCCCCACCCTCCTCCCCCCCGCCCCCTCGGAGAAGGCGCGGCCGGGGCTAGCGCCAGCTGCGCATCCCCAACCCCGCGCTGCAGATGGCGCCCGGGGCCGCGCGCCTCTCGCCCCCAGGCTGAGCCCCAAGCGGAGCTGCCCCTCCTGGTGGGGTGCAGGGGAAGAGATGAGGCCAGCCCGAGTCACCCCGACGCAGCTGGACACCTTTAGAAGCCTTGAAGGCCCCTCTGGTGTGGTCTCCAGCCGCGCATCCACTCTGCATACTGTGTCATACTGTGTCTGGCCCTCTTTGGGGTGTCTTCTGTCTTTCAGGACCACCTGGCCACCTTTAACTTTTTTTTTTATATGAAGACACTTTATTACATTTTTACTATATAACATAATAGTGAATATACCAGACTACATTTTCTTAAATGGCAAACGAGACAGAATAACATTTCTCTCTGATTCCTCAATTTCATATGTCTTTTGGAGGATCCAGTTTCTTGCGACGTCTACGATACTGCCCGTGAGGGTACCAACGGTGCTTGGTAGTAAAGAACATTTTGCTGAGTTGTTCTATCCTAGGTCCTCGTTCAGTAGGGCGTTCGCCTTACAAGCGGCCAACATGGCCGACCCGAGTTCGATTCCTCTGCCCCTCTCGGAGAGCCCGGCAAGCTACCGAGAGTATTCGATATGCCAGACACAGTAACAACAAAGTCTCCAATGGAGACGTTACTGGGCCCGCTCGAGCAAATCGACGATCAATGGGAGGGCCTTTACCTTACCTTTACCTTTTCCCTCTCAATTTGGTTTTTAGGATTTGATCATGTGTTTTTTTTTTTTTTTTCATTATTTTGCACAGGATCTGGTCGAGGAATAGGCTTTGTGGGTTCTTACGAAATGTCCACAGAAGGGTGGTAGCATACTATAGTCCTCCCATCAGATGTCAAAGCAAGCTCAACTTTGTTTGACTTGGAAGCAAATGTTTCAGGATCGTTCTGCTTGATGTTGCCCGTTTTACTGCTGCGAGTACCATGGTGAATCCAGAAACAATTTTCATCTCTTGACAGCTGCTCACTGCAAACCCGCCATTTTGCCTCAATCCCACCTTTAACTTTTTCTGTCTACACTGGTGAAAGAGGATTCATCCTCCATTTCCTTGGTCACTTGTCAGGAGATATTCCATCTTAAACCACCTGACGAACTCCATCACTCCACTACCTGAAAATGTAGTGCACGCAGCAGAATGTCGTGCACTACTCCTAAGACGTCAGAGAGCAGAGATATTGTCCACCATTCTGCCAAGGCCTAGGCAGGGAAAGAGGCAGCAACCTTTCTCAGCCAGAAAACGGAAACAATCCTGATAGGACAAAGAAGTTAGGGACAGGCCTCCAAGGTCTCTGAACCAGCAGTAGAGCACAACTTCTGAAGGTTTTAAATGATGTCAGATAGCTCCACAGCCAATTGCTAACCAATGAAATGCTAGACACTTCCTTCAAAATCCTATCTAGAGCTGTCCGGGTACCTAAATCCAGCTGGGCAGCTAAGAGGAACAGCATCAAGAGACAGTGGTGGAAGTTAGTGCCACTGTGAAGAGAACCTTCCTATCTTTACTCATAATAAATTCTTCTTTGAAAGTTTGAATCTCCTGACCTGTGGCCAGTTTTTATTTTTTTCTTCTTATATTTATTTATTGAATCACAATAAATAAGTTAAAAAGCTTATTAAAAGCATACAGTTAACTTGGGTTGGATCTCAGGCATCCCATATGGTCCGGGAAGCACCACCAGTAGTTAATTCCTGAATGCAGAGCCAGGAGTAACAGCTGAGAATCATCAGGTGTGACCCAAAAACAAAAACAAACAGGGGTATGGTGCCGCCACCAGGTCAATCTGTACCTGTGAGGTGGGAAAAGTTACAAAGCTTTCAGGTTTAAGTCTCGGTCATACAATGATCACACGCCCTTCCCTTCACCAGTACTCATTTTTCACCACCAAGAACCCAATAACCGCCCCCCAACCCTCCCAATGCCTGTGAGGCAGATGCTTTCTACTTAACTCTTTTCTACATTGATAACATTCATTATTTCGAAGCACCATTATTGTTTAGAATCCCTCCTCCCCCAACAATCAAAATTGCTGAAAAGGCATTGTGAAATACTTTGTTTTCTATAGCTGGTATGAGAATCATATAACGTCATATAATGATTTTGGATTTCTGCAAAGAGCCAGATCATTACGAGATTGGTTGCGTCTGGTGTTATGGCTGTGCCAGAGAGCCGCTCGTGGCGGACAACTTGTGACCTCGGTAGGGCGTGAAGGACGAGCCGGTACTGCCCCCCCCCCTTCCCATGAGACTGCCGTTGCCCCATCACCGCCAGCTCATACTTGGCTTTCCTATAAGCTCTGAGGCAGCGGCCACCTTGTATGCGGTCCAGATGCATTTCTACCAAAAGCCACTGGGTTTCGAGATTTGTTTCTGAGTCTCTGGGATCATGGCCATTAATCAACGTGATCAGGAGCCAGAGAAGCTGCCTGAAGGCGGCGACTTGGGGTCTCTCTGGGATGGGGAGGAAAGGACCGGTTCCACCCCCATCTGGTAAGGCCCTGTGTCTCTCATCACTGCAGGCCCAAACCTGACTGTCCAGTGGCCTCTGGAGGATGGTGGTCACCGGGCCATCAAGGGGAACGGGCCAAGGCACAAAATCTATTCCCACCTGGAGTAGCCCAGCGCCAGTAACCTACTGTAGGAACAGGATGCATTTCTACCAAAAAAGCCTTTGGGTTCCGAGATTTCTGAGTCTCTGTTTCTGAGTCCCTGGGATCATGGCCGTTAAGCAGTTCGATCAGGAACCAGAGAGGGCATGCCTCCAATTATATAGCTGAGCCGAAGGTCGTTTGTGGGTGTGTTTCCCACATACCTAACTTTTGGCCGTTTACTTTATTGGTAAACTTTGCCCCAAGTTTTTGGGGTTAAAAGGCACAGCAGCAGTTTTGGGGTATCTGAAAGTCTGATGGTGCCATCAGGCTGCTGATGCATTTGCCTCACAGGTACAGATTGACCTGGTGGCGGCACCATACGCCCGTTTGTTTTTGTTTTGGGGTCACACCTGATGATTCTCAGCAGTTACTCGTGGCTCTGCACTCAGGAATTAACTACTGGTGGTGCTTACCGGACCATATGGGATGCCTGAGATCCAACCCAGGTTAACTGCATGCAAGGCACACATCCTCCTTGGTGTACTATTGCTGGACCCCAACCTGGGCACATCCAGGATCACTGGACACTGTGCACACTGTCCACACTGCAGAGATATCTGTGCCTGTCTGTATCCGTGACACTGGCTTAATGACTAGCAGGCGGGCCAGTACTGTTACCAGGACACTTCCTCTATGTTGTAACATCCTTTACATGGAAACTACAAACCTGGGTACTAATCATTTCAGAATGATGGTGCTGCCTAAGTTTAATCATTTGGGGAGATGTTGAATTTTGTTAGTGAGAGCCTCATGAAAATGGTCTAGCCATGGGGTAGCCTCTAAATTTAAGAATTAGGAAAAAGGAGTTTCTTCATTTATTTTCAGGGCACAAAGTTTCAATAAGGGAAAGCTTTGCCTAGGTTGGAAATCTGGTCACTCCTGTTTTGACTTTGATTAGCTCTGTAAAGAGAGTGGTAATGAGGTGATAAGCACCAAGATCGTGGTGCCTTTCTGCCTGGCTTTCTAGTGCTCCACCTCTGCTTGGGCTAAGGCTGATATACGCAGGAAGATGGTTGCTGTGGAGGACAAGTGAAGAATGGGAAAGCAAAATGGGAAAATTTCTTTTTAAAGCCAATTAGACGGTGTCATGTGTCTAATGAAAAACAGAGGGAACTCATACAGAAGGGTCTTTAAACTCTAACCCAGACAGCTTTATGGTTATCAACTTCCTGATACAGAGTACTTTAGTTGGTGACATGCTTAAACTAGAACCCTGCCCATATTTCACCTTTCTCCTCACTTAGCTCAAAGTCCATACTAACCTATGTGCCCTCTAGATGCATACTTAGATGGTATTTAGACATGCAATGTTGGAGAAAGCAACTAGTCTTTGTACAACATTGGCATCCCCCCAAATGTGATATTTATGCCCTCCAAACTTAGTAACTTAGTGTGACTTTCTCCCTGTTGAGTTCCCTCAGATGTGTACTGTGTAAAGTTTGCTCAGACCAAGTGGTGATGAGCTCATGAGATAGCAACATTCCAGAAATCAGAGATCACCCTGTTCCCAATGTGAAGACAGAACTTATGGCCCCTCTGGTGACAGGAAAGTCACCAGGCTGCATTCCGTTCTTCCCACATCCATTACCCATAGATAACAGAAGACCAGACCAAGTACACCTGTCTGGCTGGTCTCTGTTCCCTTCCTGCCACCCCCCCCCAGACAAACTTCTCCTGTTTCTCCACTTTATTCATCTCTGTCCCTCTGTCTGCACAGGTGAGGTCTCTGACCTATCATACTGTACCTTTAATAAACCACCCTACAATGGTCTGTACTGACTTGTTCTTAAATTCTTTCACCAAACACAAAGAACCAAAGTACAGGACTGCATTGCCCTCCCTAACCCCCTACTCAGCCCCATCTGGCCACTCATACCAGTGAAAAGACAAAGGTCGAAACCTAGCATGAACCCAGTGCTAGGTTTTAATGATGCACATTCAACAGTACCAGAGGCTGCAGTTAAAGATGAAGTTGCAGGGAGACTGTGTCATGCCTCACCTCTAACTCCTGATGGTTTTCTAGCAATCTCTGGCCTCTCTTGGAGGTAAAGAGAGAGTCCAGCTCCGCCTTCATCTTCACATAGCATTCTCCCAGTGTGCATGTTTCCTTCAGATTTACCCCTTCTGTTTATTTTAATTTTTCTTTACTTTTGGGTTTGGGGGGCCTACCCGGCAGTGCTTGGGGCTTACCCGTGACTCTGAACTCAGGGATCACTCCTGGTGGTGCTCAGGTGACCATATGTGATGCT